AAAGCAATCCTTACCTCAAAACTTTCGGCCAAACATTCAAATCAAATGAGGTAATGGACTGTTCAAAGCATTTTGTGAAGTCAGATGTTATAGAGAGATCGAAGTCAGCTTCTTGCATGCAAACCTAAAAATTTCGCTCGTTGGCGTCTAACTCATAAGAAATAAATCTAGCAACCTTAAGCTCTTCCGACAACTTCACATGGTCCGGTATCTGCAAGTACTCGGAGAGTTCCGGTTCTGTTGCATCAATTTTGTTCAATTCGTAACCCTCTAGGAGATAGTCCATAATGGATTCCTGAAAGAGAAAGCTTCAAATCGATTAAATTAATTTCATATAGGGGAATTTCTGGCAACTTACAAACAATTTGCTGTTTTCTTCTTTGTCGATATATTGATCACAGAACATGTGCACAGATCCACAAACTGCAAGTCGTCCTTTTGCTGTCTGGAAGTTAGTACGGAGATGGTACTGTAGGGGTACTGTAGGTAGCCGGTATGTATCATTGACATCTAGTTTTTTTTATACTAATATTATCCAATTTGCGACTGTTGGAAGTACTATGTGACTTTTCTAGAAAGAATAATAGGCGCAGATTTCAATTCGTACAATAAGGTAACTATAGGATTACTGTGACTAGTCTAAAGCTATCTTACCTCAGTCTCATGAAAAGCAACCACTGGCCTCCCTATTGGGAAACAAGCGCTACCCGTAGATAAAACTGGCGTGGCCAAACGATTTACGGATAATGTGGCACCATATGGATACACGAACGAGATGGTCCTGAAACGGTAATCTGCCTCGTTCCAAACGTTTTTTGTAGCTCTAGTGAATACCCACTGTGAATTGCTTTGCTGATCTGTAGATACACTTTTCTTAGCTGCTATAGCTACACTTCTGTTCAAGACACCATTTGAGATAAGGGCTTCTTTTGGATCGAAATATTTATAGAAAATACTGCGAATGACAGCATCTGGAATAAATGTCGTTGGAAATCTTCTGAGGATTCAAAAAATACGTATGAGTATATGAAGAAATCTAGAAAAATTAGCTGCTTACCATTATTGACAACAATTCCGAATTCTTCAAGAAGAAAATTGATATTTGTATCAGCTGCCTGTTCTCCACCTTCAGAGAGCATTACCAGTACGGAACCACCATTTGTGAGAAAACGTCCAATTGATTCCATCTAAAATTTGCATTTTTTTGGGAATTTTCAAAGTTTGGCTGAAAATATCAGTATATCCATTAGGGCATTCTTCTCAAAAATTTTGTTAAGATGGGCCCTTTATATTTGACTAAAAACCAAAACGAAAAAATTCAAACTCAAAGACTATGATTACTATTTTTTGTAACATCTTCACCTCAGAAACATTGAACTTCGCTCTTGGATGTGGTAGAATAAAGGCTCGCACTCCTTCAAACATTCCATCTGTAATTTCGTCTGTGTTTCTGAAAATAGTATTTTTTTTTCAAATGCATAACCTTTTTTGGAGTCCCCATCCCAAATTTATCTCCCCATTATCTCAGTTTCAGTTTCAACCTGTTTGAAAAAGAGGAAAACGGCTTAACGGCGTTATTAACATTTACGTTACATGAGAAAACAATTCAGTTGCTTGAAAAACCCACGTCTCAACGGTCCATGCATTTTTAAGCCGCTTTTGAACTCCACGAAGTCCAGAAAGGACGTTAAACGATTCTTTTTTCGACTGGTTGATAATAATCTTATGGCTGGAGGATTTCTTGGTAGAATTCTGAAAAGGGGAATAAACATTTATGGCTTACACCCATAACCAGAAAAAGCATTAACAATGCTTTTTGAAGGAATCTTAATTCGAAATATTTGAACAACATTAAAAGAATTGCTTTTTGAACTATAAATAGTGTATCAAGAGGGCAAAACAGTTTCATAAAAACAGTCTTGCTGAAAGGTTGAAAATTTATCCACTTACCTCATTGTTCTGCTCTTGGCCATAGCGTGGATTTGCGGCAAAATTTGTCACTGGTGGCATCCTCAGCTCGTTTTCAGGGATTTTACCAACCCATCACTTCTAAAGGTCATTGAAAGTCTACAGTCCTGTGTCAAAATGCGTAAAATAAACTATTTTTTCAAAATGAAGAATATAAATGCAAAGGTAAATGTTCTTAGGGAAATCATTTTGCGGTTATGTCGCTGAAGAACAGGACTTTTCGCTTGCGCGCTTGTTTCCATGGCTACTGCCTGGAAGAATGGCACATGTAAACTCGTTTGCAATTAGAAATAGAGTTGATATATTGTTTACTT